AAAAAAAAAAAAATGTGGTTCATATATACAATGGAATATTACTCAGCCATCAGAAAGGATGAATACCCACCATTTGCATCAACATGGATGGAACTGGAGGGGATTATGCTAAGTGAAGTAGTCAAGCAGAGAAAGACAATTATCATATGGTTTCACTCATATGTGGAACGTAAGGAATAGCACAGAGGACTATGAAGGGGGAGAAATCAGAGAGGGAGACGAACCATGAGAGACTCTGGACTCCAGAAGCCAAACTGAGGGTTACAGAAGGGAGGAAGGTGGGGGGATGAGGTAACTGGGTGATGAGTATTAAGAAGGGCACGTGTTGTGATGAGCACTGGGTGTTATATGTAACTAATGAATCACTGAACACTACATCAAAAACTAATAATGTACTATATGTTGGCTAACTGAACATAAAAAAAGTCGGACGCTTAATTGACTGAGCCACCCAGGTGCCCCTATTTTATATTACTTTGTAATCCTACCTCAAATACTTCCTAATTAGGGAAATTCCCTATTTAACAGATTCTATGAATTTGGAATACCAGATATTGAAAATCAAAAATGCTAGATTTTGGAAAAAATAATCATGACAAATCCATCTAAGTTACTACATGCTAATTAGGAGCCGTCTTACCTCAACAGAAGACGGGGAGCTTGATGGTACTGGAAAGGGGGTAACAGCCATCTGATTGACTGCATCTTCATTTCTGTGGACGTGAAAATAGGCAGAATCAGTACACAGCAAATGCTAAGTTTCTGGCTCAAATTACAACCATTTCCTCTGTTGAAAATGTATACAAAGCACCTTAGAATAAAAATATGTACAAATACATACTGGTTTTAAGCATGCGAAGCTATTAAGCACAAAAAGGGATATATTACCCCAGGGGCACTAGGATATGGTTACGAGAGACAGAGAATGATGATGCTAGGGGTTAGCTAGATCTTGCTTAATAAGTCAGGTGCTGCTAAGGATCATTTTGGAAAGACATCAACTCTCTCAGCACTGTGGAGTATAAATTTTTCAAATGGCTGTGTTTAATCTCTAGGCCCATTAATGTCCAGAGCATTTTGTTCTTTGAACTGGAAAGGTTCCCGGCCTCCTTACTTGGCTTCTAACTTTGTTCTGCCAAATGAGGGATGATGGGATGTGTATGACAGGCCCTCCATGGGTGGACACTGTGAGGAGGAGTGATGGATGGGGAGAGCGGAGATCCAGACAGATGATGCTTTGTGGGTTAATTCTACTCCTCCTCATCCTAATGGAAGCAGAGATGGTGGGAGCTAAAACTTCATCACCAGGGTCGCAGGTACAGAACAACTCCTACAATACCAGTTCTAATTATTTGGACCTATTTCCATGACGTTACCAGCAAATGATAAGCAGTGATTCTTCTGTGGGAGATCTAACCTTTACTATTTATACAGGATGCAAACCCAGTATCATTATCTCAAGGTTTACGTGACATTTGACTTTAGGTTTCACAGTACAAACCAAGGGAGATCACAAAAATGCTTCTTCCTGGTATGCAAAGATCTAAGACTGCTCACAGATCTCTCTCCATATGACCAGTATATTCAGGATAGCCACTACCGGATTTGGAAGGGCACTCAAAATCCAACCCCTTTACTTCTCACCAACTGGAAAAAGATCCATTGGTCCATGTCATTCCTGCTTTGGTGTTTCAATCCTATCACTGCCCTTTCCTGAAATGCCTTTCTTTATTAAATTTATAATCCACCTATCTTTCCCCTCCAGTGTGAGTTCAACAGCCTCAACTAGATGAATTATTCCCTTAAGTCAAAAGACCATCTATATATTGATGTCCTCCAAATTCACATAGTTAGCCCAGGTCTTTTTCTGAGCTTAATATCTGATCTCTAACTCCTACTTTATATCTCCGTTGGATGTCTTACAAGTATTTCAAATAAAATAGATCTCTTATTCCCACTCAGTCACCAGAGGGTTCCATGATTAATCCTCCTCATTTGAGTAAATGTCAACAATGTCCACCCAGTTATTCAACCAGGAACCAAGGAGGCACTCTTGAAACCTCTAACCCCTCAACTGTATATCCAATCAAGAAGTCTTGTTGATTCTACCTTCAAAACGTATCTTGAGTCTTTCCACTTATTTCCATCCTATCCTAGGACAAGCTATTATCATTTCTTTTCTTTCCTTCTTTCCTTCCTTCCTTCCTTTTCTGTAGGCTCCATGCCCCGTGTGGGGCTTGAACTCAGGATCCTGAGATCAAGACCTGAGCTGAGACGGAGAGTTGGACACCCAACCAACTCATTCACCCAGAGGCCCCTAGTTATTAACATTTCTCACCAGAGTTAATGTAAGAGCATCCTATTTGGTCTCCTTACTTATATTCTTTATCCTTTCTCCAATCTTTTCTTCACCCAGAAGAGTTATTACAGTTCTAATACATAAATCTGATTATATTTCTATCCCCTGCTTAAAATCCTCCTATGGCCTCTTATTACACTTAGGATCAAGTCCACAATTGTTAGGGAGGCTGTGGCCTTGAACAATCTTCCCCAGCCCCCATCTCTGGCTTCCTCTTGTTCTCTCTTCTCCTGGCTCACACTTTGCTCTAATCCAGCTACATGAAATTTCTTCCCATTTCTCAGCCGAGCTAAGCTCCATCCACCTCAGGGCACTATCTAGCCCCATCCTCCTCTGATCTGCATGTCTGTTGCCCAAATCCTTTGTCTGATTTATGTTCTTATTTCTTCTTCACAGCTGACCACAAATGTCATTTATTGAAACAAGCCTTCCAGGAGCTCTATTGTATGTGTATAGCACCCTATACAAAGACTGCAGTTCTGTCTCTTTCCTAATTTACCTAACCCATCTGTATGAAATGTGCTTCCAATCTGCCTTCTCCTAGATGGTACACTCCAAGGACAGGAAGCATGTCCTTCCTACTCTCTTACATTATCTGGGGCAATCAGTGCCTGGCAAACAGTCTGTACTTAACACAGTTGTTAAATGAATCGAACTGCAAGAACTCAATTGAACTGCAAAAATTCTAGGCTGATATAAATTCTTTGTGGAATGAGGCAGAGTCTAAATAAACAGATGAAGTCTAGGTACCATTTCTTATTCTAACCTTCTGAGATTCTTGTATTATCCAGCATATGAGCCAAACCAAAGCAAAAGGGCGAAAAACTAAAACCATAAAGTGACAGTGCATGAAGAGTATCTCTGTTTTTCTCTGACAGTATTACAGATGCCTTGAGCATGCACTATTACATTAAGAGGTGGCTATTGTTTTTCAGGGAATACAATCCATTCCTCAGCAGTTTGCTCATACACAGAAGAAGTAATCAGTTACCTTTGGATAAGTAATTGCATTTTCAAAGTGGTAATTCCCTTTCGCATTCATTTTCCTTCATTGAGTAACACAACAGAACTAGCTCTACCTCAGAGCTAAAAGCCAACAGGACCTGTCTGCTCCAGATTCAGAGCTCATGGGGCAGAGTATACTTGGCAGTAATTAAGCAGATGGCTTTTCATACCTCTCTCAAAGGTTACTAGCATTAAATATATGGCTGCACATAAATTCTTATTGAGAAGTCATGATTAGCTGGACCAAGTTACTTCACATCAGCCAAGTTATCCCTTCGTAATTTAATGGTTTTCTCTAAATTAGCATGACTTTAATGGCCTTTAAATTCCATATTAATTTTTTTAAACCTCACAAAATAGAAAACTTACAATTACTCTCAATGGAGAGAAGGAAGCTGCTTTAAGAAGTTACATTTCATAATCCTTTATAATCCACTTCCTAGGGAGTGTTCACGCACCTCCACATCAAGCAAGCAAAGATCTGACAATTTTAAAGAGAAATGAGTAGGAAGAGGGAAGCCAAAGGAGAGAAGGCATTTACACTTCAAACAAGCAGTTAACCTGAATGACTTCTGGGGATCCTCTGACCTCTCCTCTCCTATGATTCTCATAAAGAATAAAATCTGTTTGCTTTATAACTTCCTGTTCCTTTCCAATATAATTAATGTAAGTTACTTAGGCCCAGATGCCCCATACAGGACACAATCAGAAATTGTAACTGCTTGTTGGTATTTTTATAATAATCTTTAACAGCTGTTGAGAGAGATAACGGAGTGCCACCATGGGTAAGGGAATAGTTTTCCAGAGTACAGAACTCTGCCTGTGTGTATGTCTGTTATCATTGCATTTGCCATGTTCTATTAAAATGACCTTTCTCCTTCTCCAAGCCCAGGGATGGGATCTTATCTCTGCATTCCCCTAGCTTGCAACAGGGTACCTGACAGAGAGTACGTATATTTTACACAGAGTGTAAGCAAACTGACCAAACTCACAATGCTAATGAATAGCAGAGCTGAGATTCAAACCTGGCAGTCTAGTTTCAAAATCTACTCTTTTGACTACCACACTACAGTGTTTCCCATTTTAGCAGCCTCTTCCAGAACCATATATATCTTCTCTTATATACCCAAGCTAATATTCCCAAACCAAAAGTCTGACTAAGTCACAATTTACTCTTAAAGCTCTTTCATAATTTTCCTTAGGTTAAGAAGCATGAAAGGTTCTGAGTTTGTTCACTCTATCAACTTTTCATACTTAAGTTCCAAGTCTCATATCTTCATTACCTAGTCCTTGTATAGATATTATGACTGTAAAGTGCTTTAAAATACTTATCAAACACGATAGTGCAGGGAGCATGGTAAAAAATACAGTGGAGTACAATTCCCTCAGTACTCTTCTGCGATAATGATTAGAGCTGTTCATAAATCCTCTGGCTTGTACTTTTCTTCTCCTTTAAAGGTGAGTCACTACTTGAACCAAATACTTGGTAATCATAGAAATATATGTTGAGATCTTGCCTTGGCTACCTGAATGACCAAGATAAGCTGTGAGGCCCCCTTGCTGAACCCTGATGGACATGTAACATGATAAAGCAATAAACCTTTGTTGCTTCAAGCCACTGAGATTTGGCTGGAAGTTCACTGAAGCATAACTGAATTTATCCTGACTCAAACATGCTCTATACAAGTTGATTCTATAATAATTATCTTTAAGAGTCATGCTTCTACTGTATTCAAAATAGCTAAAAACTGGAAACAACCCAAATGTTCACATAGAGGAAAATGGGCCAACAAATTATGGTATGGTCGCAGATTGGAATATTACTCAGTAACTGAAGGAACTATAGATACACCTAACAATATGGGTCAATCTTGAAAAAAATTATGTAAAATGAAAGAAACCAGACACAAAAGGATTAATCCTGTTTGATTCTATTTACATGAAGTTCAAGAACAGTTTAAACTAATCTATGATGACAGAAATCAGGAAGTGTTGTCTCTGGGGCCCAGAGGGACTGACTAGAAAGGAGCACCAGCAAGCTTTCTGGGATGAATGAATGTTCTGTATTTTTGTTTTGGGTGATGGTTACACAGGTGTATGTTTTGTATTCTCAAAACAACAAACTGAACACTTGAAGTCTATTGCACTGAGTGTAAATAACACCCCAATTAAAAAATTAATTCTTTGTTATATCAATGTAAGACAACCATGCTATTCTGGGAAGAAACCTAGAGTGAGGCAGACCTAGGTAAAGGAACAGATTCTATCACTAAGATATAAGCAAGATACTAAACAACTTATTTTTATTATTTTATTTTATTTTTATTTTTTTTAAGATTTTATTTATTT